TATGTGAATATTGATGAAAAAAGACAAAAATATGATGGTTGGGTTATATTGTACTTTTCTTCATCAGATTAAGGCTATGGATTTCTGTTCTGAATCTGCAACAGGAAAACACGGAGACAAGACATGGTAGGGATGCAGTAGTTGGGCTATAAAAGACCTTCCTGGATATCTTATTTGCTAAGAGTCCGATTAACTCTTGACTTGCTGATAATGCCATCCCATTAGGTTACCAGAAGTAACAAAACTGCTGCTCTGGGATTCATTTTGACCCAGTGGGAAAGAATTACTCTAGGGGAAATGTTAGGAGCCTGTAGTGAACATAGGTGTGCACTCAAATGTTAGTAATGATGAAACTAAGACACTGGTGATTGCTTCTCCAGCATCCCTGCTGCTTCCTGGCTGGGATATTGAGGAGTAACTTTGCTTTCCCCCTCCTCGTGGCTTAGGGAAGTAGGACGTTATCCCAGCCCTGTTACCTTGGGTGTAATTGCTTTAGAAGTGGTCGTGGGACTCCATCCTGGCAAAGGAGATGTGAGGGAACTCTGCTGAGGGTGTTTCTGGGGAAAGTTCCTTCACTCCCAAGGAGACCTTGCCGGAGACTTTTTGCCTGTGGACATTATTTTGCCTGAATGTGATGATTGAAACTGCTATAGCCACATTTGGACCTGGAAGGCATCTAGCCTGAGGGCAAAGCCAGCATATTGAAGCTGTAGAGGAGAAAGGAAAACACCTGCCCTTGCAGAGCTGCTGATTCTTTTTTAGCTTTTAAGTTCAGGCATACATGTGCAGGTTTGTTATGTAGGTAAACTCGTGTCACAGGGGTTTGTCATACAGATAATTTCATCACCCAGGTATTAAGTCTAGTACCCATTAGTTATTTTTCCTGATCCTCCCCCTCCCACCTTCTACCCTCTGGTAGGCCCCATTGTCTGTTGTTCCCCTCCATGTGTCCATGTGTTCTTATCTTTTAACTCCTGCTTATAAGTACGAACATGCAGTATTTTCCTGTTCCTGCATTAGGTTCCTAAGGATAATTACCTCCAGCTTCATCCCTGTCCCGGCAAAAGACATGATCTCATTCGTTTTTCATGGCTGCACAGTATCCCATGGTGCCTATGTACATTTTCTTTATCCAGTCTACCACTGATGGGCATTTAGGTTGATTCCATGTCTTTTCTGTTGGGAAGAGCGCTGCAGTGAACACATGCATGCATCTTTAGGATAGAACGATTTATTTTCCTTTGGGTATATACCCAGTAATGGGATTGCTAGGTCGAATAGTATTTCTGTTTTTAGGTGTTTGAGGAAACGCCACACTGTTTTGTTTTCCACAATGATTCAACTAATTTACACTCCCACCAACAGTGTATAAGTGTCCCCTTCTACACAACCTCTCCAGAATGTGTTATTTTTTGACTTTTATTTAGTTACCTTTTATTATTTTTGAGACAGGGTCTCACTCTGGCCCAGGCTGGAGTGCAGTGGTGTGAGCTTGGCTCGCTGCAACCTCTGCCTCCTGGGCTTAAGCGATCCTCCCACCTTAGCCTCGTGAGTAGCTGGGGCTACAAGCTTGTGCCTGGCTGATATTTTATATTTGTAGGGATGAGGTTTCTCCATGTTGCCCAGGCTGGTCTCAAACTCTCGTGCTCAAGCAATCCACCAGCCTCAGCCCTCCAAAGTGCTGGGATTACAGGCAAGAGCCACCACACCCAGCCAATTTTTGACTTTTAATAATAGCCATTCTGACTGTTGTGAAATGGTATCTCATTGTGGTTTTGATTTGCATTTCTCTAATGATCAGTGATGAGCTTTTTTTATACGCTTCTTGGCCACGTGTACTCTTGTGAAAAGTGTTCATGTTTTTTGCCCATTTTTTAATGGGATTGTTTATTTTATACTTGTACATTTGTTTAAGTTCCTGATAGATGCTAGATATGAGACCTTTGTCAGATGCATAGTTTACAAAATTTTTCTCCCATTCTGTAGGTCGTCTGTCACTCTGTTGATAGTTTCTTTTGCCTGCAGAGGCTCTTAAGTTTGATTAAATCCCATTTGTCAATTTTTGCTTTTGTTGTGATTGATTTTGGTGTCTTCGTTATGAAATCTTTGTCCATTCCTATGTCCAGGATGGCATTGCCAAGGTTATCTTCCAGGATTTTTATAGTTTGGGGTTTTATATTTAAGTCTTTATTCCGTCTTGAGTTGATTTTTTTCTGGTGTAAGGAAGGGGTCCAGCTTCAGTTTTCTGCATATGGCTAGCCAGTTATCCCAGCACCATTTATTGAATAGGGAGTCCTTTCCCCATGCTTGTTTTTGCCAGGTTTCTTGGAGATCAGATGGCCATAGAGTGCAGCCTTATTTCTGGGCTCTCTATTCTGTTCCATCAGTCTGTGTGCCTGTTTTTGTGCCAGTACCATGCTGTTTTGGTTACTGTAGCCCTGTAGTATAGTTCAAAGTCAGGTGGCATGATGCCTCTGATGTCTCCAGCATTGTTCTTTTTGCTTAGGATTGCCTTGGCTATTGGGGCTCTTTTTTTGGTTCCATATGGGTTTTAAAATAGTTTTTTTTCTGTTCTGTGAAGAATGTCATTGGTAGTTTGATAGGAATACCATTGAGTCTATACATTAGAAGAGCTGCTGACTTTGCTCAGTGTGGAGCCTGATGCTCTGGGCTTCTTGGGAAGTAATCTGTTGGAGCTTTTTCCTTCTTCCAGTTCAAAGCATCATATACATAGAAGAGAGTGTTAGGCATCAACATCTACTCCAAACCTTATGAAATTAGCTTACAAAAAGATGAGAGAAAATACGAAGATGCTTCTATGTATTCAGATCTCTGAAAAATAAGTATCTGCTGTGTAGTCACAGATTATTCTGATGAAGGGAAAAGAGGCATCAAAAGAGACCATTGTGGCTACGAGTCAGCTCTCCAATCTCATAATTTTAAAAAACATGAACAGAAAGTGGGAGTTTGGATATATAAATCAAGGATGAATATAATAAGTGCCAAACACTTCTGTGAATAATGTTGGAAAGGCCTGGGATGAGCTAGAATTGACAGAAAAATAATAAAAGCTACATGTTTGTTATGGTCACACAAAAACCAGCAGGGATACACCCCATATTTCTCAAGTGTGGCTGTGCATTAGAATCACTCAGGGAGTTATCATTTTTTTTACTTTTTAATATCGATGCCTGGGCCTCATACCAACCACGTTAAATCTGAACACCTATGGCTTGGAGCAGATCCCTAGAAGGGAGCACACACTAAAGCTGGGAATGAGGACAGTTAATGTGGCACTGGAAACCAACCGAGGTGACAACGACAGGAACCAGGTGCCCCGCTACCTTGGTTCAAGTCACCAGACCCAGCTAAAGTTATATTTCGGTTACATTTCCGAGTTCTGAAAGAACTTGTGCACTCTGAGTAACCTGTTCCTCTCCCAGTTTCATTGTCAGAAGTGGAGGGCAAGCCCTAGGCACTCTCTCACAACCTCGCCATCATCATCTGCTCTGAGACCAGAAGGAACCTCAGACAGCCACATCCCCTCTCAGTGTCCTTACTGGAGTCTCTACCAGCCCAGGACATCCCCTTTTCTATTCCCACTTTCTGTCACACACCCTCCCCCATTCCAGAAACCCTGTACTGGCCTCTGGAGGTCAGGCTCCATTGGAAACTTGCCATATGCCTTCGACCTCTCTGAAAGTTCCCTTCACTTTCTTGCTCTGACCCCTGACTCGCCTGAGGGCACTGCCTCCTTTGCAGTCCTGGGGTGTTCTGTATTTTAAGGCTGTCATTTATTGACTGTTTACTTAGTGACAAGCACTGTTCTGTGGTCATAACATAGGCCCATTTTACAGATGATAAAACAGGCCCAGAGAAGTCCCATTTATTCTTTGAACATTGAAGGTTCATTTTCTCAGGCAAAGACTATTCTTAAAAATACGCCTTATAATTTTTTTCTGTTTTTAAAATTGATATTTTTCCATTTTAGGACTGTAATCCCATGATTACAGAAAAGTATGAGGGGAAGAAAATCCCACTATCCAAAATCAGCCCTTAATATCTTGGCAAATTTCCACTAGTCCTCTTTATGAATATGTATACATTAAAATAAAAGAGTACTGTATACAGAGTTTGTATGTGATTTTCGTCTTTACGTATCACAAGCGTATTCCCAGAATGTTAAATCTTTGAAAACGCATTTGCTTATAGGTCTATAATACTCCATTTTATAGGCATGCCATTTTCATCCAAGTATCAAATGGATTGACATACAATTGTTAATAATCTTTACTTTTTATACTTTAAATGCCATAGCATCTGTAACAATATCATCTTTTTTCATTCCCGATACAGGTAATTTTTGTCTTTTCTTTCTTTTTATTTCAGTGTAGCTAGTGGCTTATATACTTTATTGCTCTCAAAGAAACAGCATTTTATTTTCAGTGTTTTTTGATTTGGATTACTTACCTATTTTCTATTTCATTGATCTCCACTGTTATTTTATTTTCTGTTTCTATTGTTAGTGTGCTCTCACTTTTTCTAGCTTCTTGAGGTAGAAAGCTTAGATTAATTTTTTTCCTTTTGTGTGCTGCTTAGGCTGCATCCCACAAACTTGGCTATATTGTGTTCTCATTTTCAATCAGTTAAAAAAAATTCTAATTTCCCTTGTGATTTCTATTCATGGCTTATTTATCAATATGTGTTTTCTTTCCAAGTAGGAATTTTGTTTTGTTTTTCTTTTTTTTTTTTTTTGAGACGGAGTCTCACTCTGTTGCCCAGGCTGGAGGGCAGTGGCGCGATCTCGGCTCACTGCAAGCTCCGCTTCCCAGGATCATGCCATTCTCCTGCCTCAGCATCCCAAGTAGCTAGGACTACAGGCGCCCGCCACCATGCCAGGCTAATTTTTTTTTTTTTTTTTTGTATTTTTAGTACAGATGGAGTTTCACCATGTTAGCCAGGATGGTCTCGATCTCCTGACCTCGTGATCCACCCACCTCGGGCTCCCAAAGTGCTGGGATTACAGGCATGAGCCACCGTGCCCAGCCCCAAGTAGGAATTTTAAGATATCTTTTAATTATCAATTTTCAAATTAATTCCACTATAGACTGAAAAACATTCTCTGTATAATTTTAATTAAGTGTATTGAAATTTGCTTCATGGCCCAGCACAGGGTCTATTCCAGTAAAAATTCCATGTGCCCTATAATAGGATATATATTCGGGATAAAAGTGAATGCTGCTATTATTGAATGTTGTTTTCTATAAATCTCAATTAGGTCAAACTTGTTGATAGTGTTGTTCAGGTCTTACTGATTTTCTGTCTGCTTTTTCTATCTATTACTGAGAGAACTGTAAATCTGGATTTGTCTAACTCTCTATTTTGTCAGCTTTTGCTTCATGCATTTGAAGCTGTGTAATTAGGCGCATACACAATTAGGATTGCAGTATCTCTTTGTTCCTTTTTTTTTTTTTTTTTTGAGACGGAGTTTCACTCTTGTTGCCCAAGCTGGAATGCAGTGGCGCGATCTCGGCTCACTGAAACCTCCACCTCCCGGGTTCAGGCGATTCTTCTGCCTCAGCCTCCCAAGTAGCTGGGGTTACATGCATGCGCCACCACGCCTGGCTAATTTTGTATTTTTAGAAGAGACAGGTTTCTCCATGTTTGTCAGACTGGTCTCGAACTCCCAACCTCAAGTGATCCACCTGCCTCAGCCTCCCAAAGTGCTGGGATTACAGGCATGAGCCACTACGCCTGGCCTCTTTGTTCCTTTTATCATTACGTTTATCTTCATTTCTGATGATGATGCAGGGCAGGCGAGCCCCAAAACTGAGGCTTAGTCAGGGAGGGTTTTTGGCTTTGTCCAGGAAAAAACTGAATGGTGAGCTAGTGGTATCAGACAGCAACTTTTATTGAAGCAGCAGTGCATGGTAGCAGCAAAGGGGACTGCTCCTTGCAGAGCAGGGCAGGGAGGCAGGGAGGGAGGGAGGGATGCCTCATAGTCATTGTGTCCAGGGTAGTAGTTTAGAGGCAGTTTTGCAGTCATATTTCTATTTATTTTTAATTATATGCAAATGATGGGGCGGATTATGCAGACATGTTTAATAAAGGGCTGTAACTTTCTGCTTGCTGAGTCATTGTCATGGAAAGGGGTGGTAAGTTCTGGGTGTTGCCATGGCAATGGTAAACTGACAGGCACACTGGTAGGCATGATGGAAAGGTGCTTCTGCCCTGTCCCTGTTTTAGCTAGTCCTCAATTTGGTCCAGTGTCTGAGCCCCGTCTCTTATTTCAATATTACTTTTCCTAAATTCTATTTTTTTCCTGATACTAACATTGAAACTGCCTTTGCAAAATTATAACTAAGGAAATTATGACCGTGAAAGACATCAGACCTAACCAACTCCATCTTGCTTCTAACCTCTAAACTGTCCTTGCCCATTCCTGGGTATAGGCCGAACGAGCCTTGGGAAGGAACTTAGTTTAGGGTTTAGATAATAGCCCTGACCAAAAGTGAAACTGTTCTTGCAAAACAAATAAAAGGTCACCAGCCACGAAGTTAAGGATGAGAGGGGCTGGAATTCTCAATATTGCCCGCCATTATTCCAGAGGTCATAAGATTGCAACTTCCAGAGGTCATAAGATTGCAACTTCCTCTTGAAGGTAACATCACCATTGTGAACCTAAGATTGGTCTGTTGAGATGTTTTTTCAGGTTTTTGCATTTCTGACAACTGGGTGTCCCCAGCCTGGAGGTGCCAACCAGTCCAGTGGCCCCCATCCAGGAACTGACTCAGTGCAAAAGGACAGCTTGGACTCCCTATGATTTCATCCCCAAACCAACCAATCCGCACTCCCAACCCACTGGCCCTACCCACCGAATTATCCTTAAAATCTCTGATCCCTGAGTTTCCAGGGAGACTGATTTGAATAATAATAAAACTCCAGTCTCCCCCACAGCCTGCTCTGCATAAATTACGCTTTCTCTACTGCAATTCCTTGTCTTGATAAATCGGCTGTCTAGGCAGCGGGCAACGTGAGCCCACTGGGCAGTTACAACATCCCCACTTCAGTTTCCTCATGACTACAGCTTACGTAGTGTATCCTTTTTCATTCTTTATTTTTAACCCATTTATGTGTTTAAAGTATATTTCTTATATACTGTGTATAGTAGATTATTACTTTTTTTTTATAAGAACTATTCAATCTCTACCCTTTAACTGGAGTGCTTTTATCCTTTCTTTCTTTCTTTCTTTCTTTTTTTTTTTTTTTGAGACAGTCTTGCTGTGTCAAGCTGGAGCACAGTGGTGCGATCTCGACTCACTGCAACCTCCGCCTCCCAGGTTGAAGTGGTTCTCCTGCCTCAGCCTCCCAAGTAGCTGAGACTACAGACATGCACCACCACACCCAGCTAATTTTTGTATTTTTAGTAGAGATGGGTTTCACCACGTTGTCCAGGCTGGTCTCGAACTCCTGGCCTCAAGCAATCCATCTGCCTCAGCCTCCCAAAGTTCTGGGATTCCAGGCGTGAGCCACCGCACCAGCCTTTTTACTATTTACATTTAATGTAATTATGGACATACCAGTTTAATGTCCTGGCATTGTGAAAACCAGTTATGCCACACTAAGGATTGTCTCATCTGTTCTCTTTCTAGATCAAGCATTTTTCTTTTTTTAAATTTATAAATGGGAAGCTTACATCACGGTATTTTTAATTCTAACTCTACGATTGGCTTAATAGCTAGGGCTTACAATATATATTTGAAGTTTTCACAGTCTACCTTCAATAACATTACACTACTTCACATGTAATTCAAGACCTGAGAGAAGATTACTTCCACTTCTCCGGCTCTGTGTTGTGCTCTCATGCCATACATTGTGCCTTTATATGTTACAAATCTCGGAACATATAATCATTGTTTTAAACAGCCAGTTATCTTTTAAAGAAATAAAAAGATGACTTTTGAAAATGCTTTTATATTTGCCCACATATTTACCAGTTCCTAAACTCTGCATTAGATATGACTTTCCATTGGATATCATTTTCTTTTAATCTTTTGCCTTTTTAAAATATCCTTCCTTAGAACCTTTTTTTAAAAAATATAATGCTATGTTGTTCTCAACATTTTTTAGTGTTGAAATAAAATCCAATAATCGGAGAGCTCCTGGAATCTATGATGTGATCAGAAGATGGAGCAGTAATTTAAAACTGATTTTAGCCTCCGTGTGACCCAACGTTGTTGAAGGGCTGCCAAAAAGTAAGTTCTATCTCAGACTTTATTAACAAGACAGTAAGTCTCAGGATATGAACAATAATTTTGTGCTCCAATTTCATCGATGACGTGGAATGTTGTGTTCAGTTCTAGGTTCCACATTTCAAAGTTATTGACACATCTGAAGTGTGTTCACAAATGACCAACCAGGATCATGTAGGATCTAGAAATGGTGTCAGGGTGGTGCTGTCAGAGGAAGTGGAGATGTTTAACCCCCAGCCAGAGAGAAGAAACTGAAGTTACTTGAAGGGCCGCTGTGTCAAAAGGCGTCATACCTATTGAGAGTTGCTGCAGTGGTCAGAACAGAGCTAATGGGCAGAATTTGCAGGTAGACAAAGTTTGATTCAGTTTGGCTCAGCACCGTGCAAAAAGGAAAGGAGTTATTTTTGATAGTGAGCTTCCATCGCAGGAGGTGTTCAAGTAGATGCTGTCAGAAAGCAAAAATGCCCTGCCTAGTAGGTAGGAGAGAGAAGAGTCATGTATTGGACGTAAGGATGAATTAGTTTACGTCCAAGCACGTTTCCAAATCTGATTCCATCCCTCCTTAATTTCTCTGCTGGTTCCTGCCTTTCTTCCCTTTGTCAGTGTTATTTTCCTGCCTATACACATTCCTATTTTCATCTCTTGGCAGCCCGTCCCTTCCCTGCCATCTCCTTTCTAGTGTGTTTTTCCTTGACAAGTCAGGATGGTCTTGGGACTTGTGCTTAATTATAAAGACCTCCTTACATCATCAGTTTCTCCAAAGAACCACTTTCCTGTTGTAACGAAAATGTGACCATCCCTTAGTATATTGTCTAAGCCAAGATTCCCTGCCGGATAGAGGCTTGGACAAAGCTTACATGCCAAGACTAGGGAAATATTGTGGAAAGAAAATGTATATAAACCAGGCTTCGTACAGTAGGCTGGGTTTCTTGTATTCCATGGCCTTACTTTATCCTCATTTTTCTCCAGTTTTGCGTACTCAACTTTAGAATATAGTTTTCTCAAAGTAAGATTTCAACGCAGTAATCATGGCTTGGGACACTTTGTTTCCTATTTTTATTTCTTTTCTTTTTTTTTTTTTTTTTTTTTTGAGATGAAGTCTTGCTCTGTCACCCAGCTGGAGTGCAGTGGTGCGATCTCAACTGACTGCAACCTCCACCTCCCGGGCTCAAGCAATTCTCCTGCCTCAGCCTCCCGAGTAACTGGGACTATAGGCACACGCCACCACACCTGGCTAATTTTTGTATTTTTTTTTTTTTTTTTTTGAGACGGAGTCTGGCTCTGTCGCCCGGGCTGGAGTGCAGTGGCTGGATCTCAGCTCACTGCAAGCTCCGCCCCCCGGGTTTACGCCATTCTCCTGCCTCAGCCTCCCGAGTAGCTAGGACTACAGGCGCCCGCCGCCTCGCCCGGCTAGTTTTTTGTATTTTTTAGTAGAGACGGGGTTTCACCGTGTTCGCCAGGATGGTCTCGATCTCCTGACCTCGTGATCCGCCCGTCTCGGCCTCCCAAAGTGCTGGGATTACAGGCTTGAGCCACCGCGCCCGGCCAATTTTTGTATTTTTAGTAGAGACGGGGTTTCATCATGTTGTGCAGGCTGGTCTCAAACTCCTGACCTCAGGTGATCCGCCCACCTCGGCCTCCCAAAGTGTTGGGATTACAGGTATGAGCCACCGCACCGGGCCAGTTTCCTGCTTTAAAGGTGTTTTCCTAGTCAGCTGTGTTCATTCATCCTCAGCCCCTAAGTCTACTGGTGGCCTGTGCCCACAGCAATGAGTGTAGACTCATTGGACCCATGCTTTCAAAGGCAGCTCCGTCCACCTCCTGGGACATAGGCTAGTTTCCTTTGTGAAAGGAAAATATCTTGGGGTCCCAAAACCACTGAGCTTTTAAAGGAAAGAGTCAAGCTGGAAACTGCTTAGGGCAAATTTGTTTCCCATTCTATTCAAAGTCACCTTCTGCTCACTGAGATAAACACATATCTAATTGCCTTTTTTGGAGTGGCTAATCAGAAACTCAAAAGAATGCATCTGCCAAATAGGCAGATAAGAGACAAATGGATGCCCTTCTCCTACTCAAGTTATCCTGCCTTTCCAGATGGAACCAATGTTCATCTTACATATGCTGATTGATGTCTCATGTCTCCCTAAAATGTAGAAAACCAAACTGAGCTCTGACCACCTTGGCCACATGTCATCAGGGCCTCCTGAGACTGTGTTACGGGCATGCGTCCTCAACCTTGGCAAAATAAACTTTCTAAATTGACTGAGACCTGTCTCAGCTTTTCGGGGTTCACACCCTCTTAATGTGACTTTCTGCTTTATCCTCACGTTGGATCCGAAAAAGGCATGTGCGTGACTTGAGAAGCTATGTGTGATGGTCAATTTTATGTTTGACTTGACTAGGCCACAGGGTGCCCAGATGTTTGGTCAAACATATGGGTGTTTCTGTGAGGGTGTCGTGGATGCAGTTAGTGTTGAAATCAGCGGACTGAGTAGAACTGATTGTCCTTTCCATGCGGGTGGGCCTCGTCCCATCAGTGGAAGGCTAGACTAGAACAAAAGGACTGATTCTCCACAGTTTAAGAGAGGATTCTTCCTGGCTGACATTGGCTTTTTCTTGCCTTTGGACTTGAACTGAAATGTTAGTCTGGGTCTCAAGCCTGCCAGTATTTGGAAGTGCACTGCTGGCTCTCCCGGGGCTCCAGCTGGCCAATTTCCCCTGCGGAGCTTAGTGCTTGCCAGCCTCCGTAATTGTGGGAGCCAATGCTTTGTAATAAATCCCTGTTTCTCTATGTATACATCCTGTTGGTTTTGCTTCTCTGGAGAACCTCACTAACACACTGTGCAACTGAGAACTCTCATGAAAGGTAAAACATTCAGCAACGTGGGTGGGGGCTCCTGCCATAATAGCTCCCCAAAATAGGACATCTTTGGAACCCTTGCCTCACTCTTCCTGTTTATTTGGTTTTCTAGCTTTGTCTGAGGTATTCTTATTTTTCTTTTGAGACAGGATTTTGCTCTGTCACCCAGGCTGCAGTGCAGTGATGCAATCCTGGCTCACTGCAGTCTCAATCTCCCAGGCTCCAACAATCCTCCCACCTCAGCCTCCCAAGTAGCTGGGATCACAGGCATGCTCCACCACATCTGGCTAATTTTTTTAAAAAAATTTTGTACAGACAGAGTGTCTATGTTTCCCAGGCTGATCTTGAACTCTGCCTTAACCTCCCAAAGTGCTGGGATTGCAGGTGTGAGCCACCATACCTGTCCTGTGGGATTCTTATCCTCTAACATCAGAGGTCCAGCTATATTACTAGAATGTGTTGCAAACCTGGACAGTGAAACCCTTTCTGCTATAGTATTGACTGTCGCCTGTGTTCTAAGCATTAGGTGAGCTAGTAAGGATTCCGAGTCAAATGAAGTGATCTCTACTCTCAAGAAGCCCATAGTCTAGTGGGGAAGATGGCAAGCAGAACTTACAAACCAGCAATTGCAGGATAACCTAACAAATAAGATGGTGTATACACAAGACATCACAAGAACACAATGGGTAGGTACCCAGCCCCAAATAAGGAAACCAGGAATGGCTTTCAGAAGATGATATTCAGCAGGAATCCTTACAAACGAGTAGGACTTGTGCGTCAGTGATTATAGCAGCATTCTCACAACAGCCAAAGGGTGGAAATGACCCAGATGTTCATCAAAGGACATACAAAATGCAGCATACACAAGATGCAAATGGATATACAAAATGTAGCATTATACACAAAATGCAAATGGATATTTAAAATGTAGCATGTACAATGGAATATTAGTCAGCCTTAACAAGGAAGGACATTCTGACACGTGCTATAAAATGCGTGAACACAGAAAACACTATGCTAAATAAAATAAGCCAGTCATAGAGGGACAAATACTGCATGATCCCGCTCATGTGCAGTCCCAAGAACAGGTACATTCACAGAGACAGAAAGTAGAATGGTGGCCGCCTGGGGCTAAGAGTGGGGCGTTGTTGTTTGTTGAGTATAGAGTTTCAGTTTGGAACAGTGAGAACATTCTGGGAATTGAAAGTGGTGATGGATGCATAACATTGTGAATGTACTTAACACTTTTGAATTACACACTTAAAACTGGTTAAAATGGGGCTGGGTGAGGTGGCTCATGCCTATAATTCCAGCACTTTGGGAGGCCAAGGCAGGAGGGTTGTTTGAGCCCAGCAGTTTGGGACCAGCCTGGGCAACATAGAGAGACCCCATCTCTACAAAGGAATTGAGAAAGGGGAGGCTGGAAAAGTAAGCAAAGAATGTGACTGAGGAACCTTGGAAGCCCTGCCAATGACTTTGAGGTTTGGACTTTTTTCAAAGACAGTTGCACAGGTATCATCCACATTCACATCACATGGAATGAACTCTGGTTGTCACCTTGGCATATTTCCCTTCAGTCTTTATATTGCAAGAAATTATAAATTTTTGTTTAAAAAATGCTTACTATAAGGAATTTAAACAGTCCTAAACATGAAGAGATGAAAATGTTTCACATTACCCCAAGCCCTTCACTCTTTTTTTTTTTTTTTTTGAGGAGACAGGGTCTCCCTATGTTGCCCAGGTTGGTCTCCAACTTCTGGCCTCAAGTAAGCCTCCCACCTCGGCCTCCCATAGCGCTGGAATTACAGGCATGAGCCACTGCACTCGGCCCATCACTCTTAAGTAAGAATATTAACGGAATATTTTTCTTTCATACAGATAGTTGAAATGGTTAATAAACAAATTCACATTTAAAAACTTGGGATCATGTAATTGCAGCCATTTACAATTTTTAGGTATTTAATTTTAGTTAAATTTAACATAAGAAACTGAAGTGAAACCAAAGGACACACTGACTGTCACATAAAAATATCTTCACCACTACAGGATGATTTCTTAAAGATCTGTCTAGGATTAAGAAAAGAGTAATTATGAGGGACACAGAAGAGAAGACACTGGCATTATTGTTTGTATTACACATTAC